TTATTATTATTATTATTATTATTATTATTATTATGGGATAAGGCCCAGATTTTTATTATAAAGATAATGCTGAAAAAAATATACTGTAAAACCTCGAATTTTTTTTTTTTTTTTTTTGCCAACTATGGATAAACTTCTTTTTCGAGATGGGCTTCTTATTTAGGCTAATTTTGCAAACTAAAGAGGGGCTTTTTCGTTCGTAAAAGTAACATCGAATAGAAGCCCATCTCGAAAAGAAGTCATGGGCTTCTTTTCAAGATAGATGGGTCTTTATTTCGAGATAGTACAGTACATACACTGTACATGAATTTCAAAGAAACAAAATAAATTAAAAACACGCTTGGTTTATACAATAGTTTAGGTGATTTAATACCGGTTAATACACTCCACGATACAGAGTGATGTTACAGTGGCCCTATTTATTGCTTTATAGTAGAGATTCCCCAATTGTACAGCATTAATTTTGAAGAGAATCCCCCCCCCCCTTACTTTGCAAAAGTAGCCTAAAAAAAGAAGCTCATCCCGAAAAAAGGCCCATCAAAACAAAAAACAAAAAAAAAGAAGAAGAAGCCAAGGCTTCAATTCAAAGTTTTAAGTTGTATTGATAAAGGGCTATTAAAAATATGATCGCAATATTATCGTTACTAGTTTACTAGTAGTCATTCCATAACTGTAAATATCCGCGTTATATATAATACTGTATTATTATATCTTACGTTCACTTTTGTATAAAGTGTTATGATTGCGATTTACAGTAGCGGCCTACAGTACAGTACGCTATAATCTGGTTAATATGCATTAAATATGTATCTCTGGCTAATGAGATTATACCCCAAAACAGCAATGCACGTTTAATTGCACTTCTAGCTTAAGCCTATGCTTGATTAATCAAGAAAGAAACATTTAAGGTAGGTATATAATAGGCCTATAATGTCGTTCAGTGACATTATATATACAATCCCCACATACCGAGATTGAATGTCGTTTTGACGAGCACGAATTGACGCGTATGCATTATTTAATCTCTAGGCCCCATGGATGACGTATAATACAATGCATAATTAACGCTGTTGTGTCTCGCCTAACTCATGGACCCTTAAATTCGGCGTCCGTATTAAATATATTTAATAATTATGTTATGTTTACATCTTTGTGTGTTTAATGCATATAATGTAGTCTAATTATTATCCAGGGCCAAATATAGACATCACTTTCCATTGGGTTTTAGAGGCTCTGGGCCTAATGATGTTAAATTTAATGTTGCTGAGCAAACTACATTTATTCTTCGGCATTGGTTTATGCTATTATCATCATGGAGTGAACACCTTTTTGTTGTCAGACCCGTAATGCAAATAATGTCATCGAACAAAGCATACAAGAAGCGATATTTTATTGGATCCTTCTTACAGCTCCATGATTGGATCATGTAGTAAATACGTACACTGTGACGTATTACACTCTCACTGAACATACTTAAAGCATCGTGTCCAAAATTACTATATTTCGAGGGCTGTGAAGTCGCTGGGACGCAGTTGCTGAATTTTGTTCATGTCTCTGATTCGGCAAGTTTTAAAACTTCAAGTTGCATCATATCATACCAAATTGATTGGCTAATTACGTTACACATGGTGGAACCGTTAAACAGAGGTAGGCAAACATTTAGTAAGATATTCATGTTCAGTTCCTCACACATGACAGCATTCTGGTACTTGCGCCGCCTCTGTTCACATTGACTACGAACTGATTCATGCTTTATTTGAAGTCCTCTAATAATCCTACACCTTAGGGATCCAGGGGTTGCCAATGTTGCTACTGCAGCTCCCTAAAATACTCGAAAGACTGTTTCTCGGTCAGCAGCCGTCAGCTCTCTTTAGTCTTTAGCCAGGTTAGCCTGAAGATTACTTTAAATTCTATTCACTGTATACCTTTTAAAATCCACGAAGCGAAGCTTGCAATACAGTAAAACCCAGGGCTGCTCCCTGGTGAAACGTGATTTCATTTCCTTTAACGAAAATGAGAAGTGGAATCATTGATTATGAGACGTAATTAGAATGCTTTTCTGAGAAGAGCAGAAGGCAAATTGTAATCATTCGTTCTCACAGTAGGCTTACAGATGTTTTAGTATATTTACTTTTGTAATTTTCATAGTCATTCCATGGTCTATTTATGTTTGACTAAAGCAGCTCTCCATCGCAATGACTTCGTAATTCTGCCCAACCTGTATTTCTTATACAAGCACAATACACTCCTTTTTTTTCTATGAAAACCAGTAAAATTTTGCCCATGGCTCAGTGTTCTCCTTCTTTGCCAATTTTAGGATGAAAACGTTCTTATTTTGTTCTTATTTTACACCGTACCGTGTCAGTGACCCTCATGTCAGAAAGATACGGGGACTGTATAAGAACGGCATGGTTTGAGAGGGAAAAGTTTCAATACCTTAGCCGAGTACCCTATTTTTGTGTCGTTCCCTGATAGTACTTCTGATAAGATCGCATCTGATGACATTAATGGAATAGATGTAATGTTGATATAACATTTTTAAGCATTAATTAATACTTTACTATATGTGACTAGCCTGACTTTTTTTTATTTAGGTTTTTCCTTAAGAATATCATTTGATATTTTGCCACAGCCTCAATTTGTTTTTATTCTTAAGCAATTTCGGCATCAATGTTCTTATAAAAAAAAGTGTAGGCGCCATTATATGGGCTTCTGTCACATGTTATTAGTCCTAGCTGGATGGAATGAATTGAGAGATATATAAGTTGCCCCATCATCAATTTAACTTCTGATATATTTCAGATTTTTGTTGGGAACATTTGAAATCGGTGACACCTATCGATTTGAGTGTACACTCAAAACATCAAACTAGGAATAATTTTTAACGAATAAATTTTATTAATTTTACTCATTATCGGTAGTACATTAAACATAAAGGAGGATTTAGATATACTTTTAATAATAATAATAATAATAATAATAATAATAATATTAATAATAATAATAATAATAATAATAATATAATAATAATAATAATAATAAAAATAATAATAATAATAATAATAATAATAATAATAATAACAACCACCTACTTAGGTACGATACTAATGGAGGATTGAAAAAGTGTTCAAATTTATGAAAAAGAGAAGATTACTTTGAGTGTGTCCCAACGAAAATGAACAAAAATCTCAAGTAATAATTTTAAGTCTAAGTCTGGAGTATTGAAGGTGAATATTTTTTTAAAGTGTCAATACTCCAAAATACAATGTATTTACAGTGTTTGATATTTCTAATTCTGGTGCAAGGATCGCAATGGAAGCATGCCCATACTCAAATCTACCATAAGTTAATAATGGCTATGATATATCAATGAACGACTAAACAACTTAACAACTTGTGAGTATAGCCTATAGCCTGATTGAACTATATAATGAATAATGTATTGAAGATAAAACGAATCTAACAAAAACGAGAGGGTGGTTTTTTTAAGGAAATACATCACTATGTCATCGCTGAGTATCTACACAAATTAACTATCCTTGCTATATGATGCCCCAGAGTCTTGCTATTCTTGTTACTCCGACCCGTAATTTTGGCGGTAGTACAGATTTCTTCCCACACTATTATGGGTTTGTTGACTAATCTGTCACGCGCATCATCGAGTATATCTGGATCATGATTCTCCGCCAGCTACTGTACAACTTGTTCCGACAAACATAAAAAAAATAGGCCTGCTTTTCAAGGTATAGGCCTATCTCCCTTGGGTGTAATTTTTTATTTGAATTCGTTTCCTTCTTTAAACCCGCCACCTTGAGTGGTTCTAATTTAATCTTGTGATGGCAAACTGCTATTTTAAACTAGGCTATAGTGATCTTGAATATGTTTTGCTAAATGCTTGTAATAATGTAAGTAAAACATGCTCCACTTTTATTTCTGCTTCCTTAAATGTCCGAACGTCTGGGTGTTCAGCATATCATCTCACTTCGGTTCGACTTCATTTTCATTTCTACACAAGGCCTCTACGCTTAACATCATCTGTCATACCTCTCCGCTTTTTGTCTTTTTCTTCAAAATATGCCCAAACCAATTCTTCTTTCTTCTTCTAATAACTGAATGATATGTTGCATAACTGAGTTTTGTATTTGTTTGTATTTTCATTATTATGCCCTTTTTTCGTTAATGATAATATTAATAATAATAATAATAACAATAATGATGATGATGATGGTGATGACAACGATGATGATAATGGTAATGATGATCATGATGATGATGATAATAATAATAATAATAATAATAATAATAATAATAATAATAATAATAATAATAATAATAATAATAATAATAGGCTTAATAAATAGTGAGTAATTAATCATCTTGTGTCTTTTTTTTATTTATTTTTTTTTATTTCCAAAAGCAAACAAAAAAACAAAAAAACACAAAACAAAAAAAAAAAACCAAACAAAAAACACAAGTTTACAAAGCCAAATAACCATTGTGTCTTGTGTATATAGTTTATTCCCGGTTTTACACTACTTCTGGTTTTTCTCTAAACGAATTTCCTTTTATAATATCATCGTCCCATTTAACAGAGGCATGCTGTTTGATTGCTGCCTCCTCAGCTGACTGACAGCACAGTATCTTTACTTAAGTTGATTATTCCACTGCACTGGGTCCTCTTTGATTTTCATAGTCGCCTGCATAAACCATGTGAGAAGTAAGAACAACATTCACAAGAGCATGGTTCGTTTTTGGGATCAACTAAATGATGAACCTGTGTTAAACTGAGATAGTAGCCTGAATCATCGGTGTCATGGAGTTTACCTTCTGCCATCAAGTGACGTATCTGGGGTATTAGCATGTTTGATAGTGTGAGGGCTGATATGAGCATGATGGACTAAAATAATGAGATATAAAATGACTTTAAGATGTGATTTTTACTAATGTTTTTTTTGCTAAGCAATTCTGGGCGATTCAAACGACAATCAACGTCATCGCATGCGCAAAAGAAGCTTGTCTCTCAGCCAGGAGTATAAATAGGTACCTCGTTGGAGGTGAATGATTTAGGAATGACATTTAGTAGAACTGATTGGGTACCGTAATACTTGGAATACATACTTGGAATACTGTAGGGTGCATATCATGCACCATTGATTATGCATCTCATGAACGGGTAAAGTAATGTGCTTCGTATCTTAAAGAAAGCCGCTATATAAAATTTTAAAAATAATAATAATAAATTAACTGATATACAAATAAAACACACTTCACATTACACTTTTGAAAAAATGTATCATATTATTATATAATTCAAACATAATTTTGCTGGAGTATATGATACTTTGATTTGTTTTTTTATCTGAAATTATATGCTTCATTGACAGAAGGTTATGCAAGGTGCGTTTTTGACGCATCCACTACAATATAATTACCATATACGGTTCATTTCTTCTATCATTCATATACGATCTACTTTATTGTACCTGTACCTGTATTTAGAGTTATGTTGTTTTACACCAGCTTCAAAAACACTTTATCAAGATTAAGTAAAATTTTCGTCATTATTACTAATGACAGCTATAAGAAAAGAATAATCTGTACATTATTTTGTTCCATACAGTATTGATGCCTTTTCTTCATGTTGACGTGATAGTAGGCCTACTTGTCGAATGAAAAATATCTAATTGCATACCGTAGTTTATCGAGTCAAGGTAGGATAACATTTTAAACAAACCTTACTGTTATCAACACAACCGATGTCGGGCCTACAGTACATAATGGCTTTTTTAGTAACTAATATACAGGATTTTTCAAAATTAAAATCAGGCTTCCATGTTTTACAGAAACAAAAGCAAGATCAGGTATTCGTTTCAAGTTCAGGCTTTGTTTGCAAAAACAGAAATTGTCCAAATCGTGACGATAACAACACACGGCAAAGGTTCTACATGCTTCGTTCTCTGAATCTCAGCAATCCATTCCTATATTCTATACATATATTGATCAAATCATAGACCCTTTAATTGACTGGCAGTGAATTAAGGATTTTCCTAATTAAAAAAATCGCAGATCAGCGAAATCTAAATTGTTTTGATATTTTAAATAAATGTTTGAGATTCATTTTTCTATTTTTTCCCCTTTTTTTTTACGAGAGACAAATATCTGTAATTATTGTTTTAAGGCTGTTTTCTACTTGGCGAACGAGAGTGGAAAGTGTCGGTTCGTGCGCATGCGCATTCACATTTTTATCAGAGTTTTTCTACTTTTTGCGAAGCGAAAATGCGCAACCAATTAGAGCTCAGGAAGCGAACCGACGCTTCCGATTCGCGCAAATAAATTCGCCTAGTGTAGATAGCCTTTAAAGCATGTATGGGCTGTGACATTTTGATATGACATTTGCTGAGATACAGTGACATTCATGATAGTAAATGGTTGATCTCCGAAAATTATAATTGTCTGTATTGGCTAAGTACAAGGTGATTATTACCTCGTTTTGAGAGTAACGCACTGAGGTTAGCTAAAGTTTGATGTTCGTACGAGTATTATCAAAGGTAACGTGAATAATAGAAATAGGGCCTATATCGAGGCACAAATGAAACTGTTTGCATTGTATTGCCAGAATTAATGAATAGTTTTTAAAGAATAGGTAT